CCTTAAGGAAATCTTCTAAGGTATTCTATTGAGATTGATATATTCAATCTTTTAACGATTTGAGAAGATAATTATTTGCTAAAAACAAAAATTTATACGTGTAAATGTTGTAAGACGCCATGAATCATAAAGCATATATTCCTCTTCTATTATCAGTACATATTTGAGGAATGAGCTATGTAACTTATAGCTTCTAAATAATATAACTTGAGCGTCATGTCGAGACTAAACATCTTTCATTAGCATGTTCCAAGATGACAAATTTTGTAACTTATTTGGTATACACTCCGCGGTAAGGCGAGTTTAATGTACTAGGAGACGGTGAGTATAAAAACGAAGGAAACTTTTCCTTAAATATACCATATTAGGAAGACAGGACGAGATACCTAGACTATTTATCAGTCTTATTGAAAATGAAATACATTAAAGAGAGTGATTATCTGTTTTCTTTTAGACCGAAATATATTAGAGTTATAAGGTATCTAGTACCCGAGATAATATACGCTGTGCTGTACGAGAACATTTAAAACAGAGCAATACATAATCCTACATCTTCTCAACCTACATTCAACTTTGTTCGTTAGATCCAACGATTTATCACATAGCACAAAATCATAAGCACTCTTGGCAGAGTTGGAGACGTTATTAGACAAGTGGATACTGCTAACCTCTGGAAAAATTTTGGCCACTTGGGATTAAGAGCGGCAAAGGGTTCCTCATCGGACGGTTTAAATACGGCAATATTCTCCAAATTCACATCTCTGATGAAATAAGATCCTAAACAATATCAGTAGGATGTTACATAGAATTAATTTGACTCAGATTTTTTGGTATGTATAACTTGCAAATCCATCCGCTACTCTCTAACCTTGATCATTTTTCGCAGGGCATCTGATTTTGTTATAATTCCCGAGCTAAGAAAGTATGTCTTAAAAAGAAAATGAGCGTTGCCGACATCTATAACTGTTCGCTCCTAATAGAAGTCAAAAAGGCTGTGCGACGGTCCGCGGACTGGGTTTCGCTACAAGAACGTGCTCTGCTATGAAATACTGCCTTATATTGATGTTCACACATGTCATCTTCGAAGAGTAAAAATTTCAACGGTCTGAACTAGAAAAGAGGATAGAAAGATTGAAGAAAGAACTTCTTCATTCTTTCCATCCTCTTTTGCGCTCCAACAAACTGCTGTAGGCTTTTCTGAACCGCCCAGTCTTACCGATCAATCAGCGCAAGAACGATGCCGGCATAATAGGAGTTCCCAACGTTTTCTGAAGCAAGTAGCAAGCTAGACAAACTTTAGAAGAGTTTATCAGCAGGATTCTTTACTGCGAAGTTCTAGTTCGCCCTTCAATACTCTCAAAAGCGTTGTCCGACCTCATAAAATGAGCAAATCAAGTCAAGGGAAGATATGGATTTACATAAAGTACCCTTATACTTGATTCCATAAGATAATCTAGGAATACCACTACCCTTGCAGAATTTTTATCCTCACTACTCTCGATCGTAGCGTCAAGATCTCAAATATATCAAGGGAAGCATAAAAATTGACA